GGAAGGAAGGAAGGAAGGAAGGAAGGAAGGAAGGAAGGAAGGAAGGAGAGAGATTATGAGAGAGAGGGAGGGTCTGAAAGAAGTCCTGCCTTAGCACTTGGCCACCGCAGGTGCCCCAACACAAGTGATGTTGAGGTGGCCATGCCCACCCTGGCTATGCCGAGGTTGAACACAACCCTGATGTGGCCCTCAATGAAATTGAGTGACACCCCTGTTCTACATCATTCATGGGCTAAGCCTGGGGGATTCTAGGAGTTATTAAAGTTGCCAAGGTTGAGAAACACTAATACAGACCAACAAGTCAATCCATAATTGGGATTTGAGAGGTAGAATGGGGATTGTAGCAAAGAAAGTAAGTGTAACTGTATGTCAAACTATATTTAATTATTGACCATCTGTTCAGTCTAGCAGCATTTAAGCAACATCTTATTGGCAGACAGATATGTAGCAGTTTGCTTACTCAGATTTTTTAAAAAAAGTTTTTGAGCAGTTTAAGCAATAATCTAACATTCTTCTTTTCTTGATTCAATTCATTTTGCTATTTCTAATTGAAATGCCCTTGCATTTCCTGTCAGGTATCTGGAAATATTAATTTACAAATAAAATGGTTTTAACACTTGTTCATGTTTAAAATCTTTACATTCATTAATTATATCATTTTATTTATTTTGTTGCTGATATCATTTGTCTGAACATAACTTCGTCTGAGAGATAACAACAGTTGCATCACAACTGCTTATTTCTTTAGTCTAAAAAGATGCTGTATTTTCCAGGTTGCTTTCTGCTTTTCACTCCTTAACATACACCCTCATTTCCAGAATAAACTTATCTCTTTTTCCAGTAGTTAATATACAGAAGCAAAACATTTGAAGAAGAACATGATTTAAGGAATAGGACAGGATCATACCCAGTTGAGGAAACATGTTGGGAATCACCCAGCCAGACAGGAAGAGGCCTTAAGCATGGAGTTAGCCTTGAGTCCTTGTGCAACTACAAGAGGTCCAAAATTGATTCCCCTTATGCTCTATAGAACCTTATCAATCTGTTTGCAGGCTAAAGATTCCTATGTAATAGTCAGAATATGTTTAAACCTTACACATGTAGGCCTCATGACTTGTGCCTGACAAGACCTGCTCATAACTGCGCCTCTTCATCTATTTCAAGTAGTTTACTGGCAACCTGTTTAAAAGTAGCAGCTGCATCAACTTCACAACTATTTAGCACAAAAACCCCCCACACATTTTAGAGTGTCTGGCCTAGGGACAGGTTTGTGGGAAGGGATTCTTTATAAGTAATGCTAGGTTGGTTTCTTTTACATCCTAGAATCCTTAAAATAAATTCATAATAGGTTCACTTGATAAAGGCATTTTTACTTTCTCACTTCCATAGCTTTTCTGTTCTCTTGCTTTGTCCTCTTCTTCCATAAACCTCCCTATTGCTTTCCCTTTACTACCATCCTTTCTTATCTGGGCTACTTCAAAGAGCTAAAGTTAATCTTGCAAGTGTAAAAGTATTCCTCACTGTTTTTTTTTTTTTACTCTTCAGGAAACTAGGGAAGATTTCTTCTGAAATCTTCAACACATTCTTTCTTCAACACATTCTTCAGCTCAGTCTTTGTAAACAGCAATGGCTCATGCCCCACATTTCCTAGTCATACCACAACTAACTGCAATGTTCTACTACATATTGACTTTAAATAGGATAACATAGAAAAGGCACTACGTAATCTAAAACCATCCCTATCTATTGGCTCTGATGGATTATGTGCATACTTCTTAAAAAAGCTTTCTTCTGCCATAGCAGAACCCCTAAGTATTATATATGATATATCATTCAGAACCAGCTCCTTACCAAACCTATGGTCCTTAGCTATGGTCATCCCTATCTTCAAAAAAGGTGACCCCAGCCTGGTTGAAAACTACAGACCAATCTCACTGTGTTGTGTCACGTGCAAAGTCATGGAATCAATCATTAACCAATTCATCACCCTCCACCTACAGTCAAACAACCTACTCTCGAAAAAAACAATTTGGTTTCAGGAAAAAATTGTCTTGCAACCTACAACTCCTACACTGCAAAAACATAGAGATTACTCTACTCGACCAGGGTAAAGCAACAGACTCAATTTACATAGGCTTCTGCAAAGCCTTTGATTCAGTGGTACATGACAAACTTCTGTTAAAACTAAACTCTAACGGCATTTCTGGGTCCCTTCATAAGTGGATTACTGCATTCCTGTCAAACAGACAGCAAATCATAAAAATAAGGAGTGCTATATCAAACCCTGTTCCAGTTAACAGCGGTGTCCCCCAAGGCAGCGTTCTAGGACCCAAATTCTTTATAGTCTATATAAATGACCTTTGCAATCACCTTATAAGCAACTGCATCCTCTTTGCAGATGATGTAAAACTATTCAACACTACCGATAATGTTTCTGTTCTTCAAAATGACTTTGATTATGTATCTGAATGGTCAAACATTTGGCAACTCCAAATCTCAACCAACAAATATTCTGTCCTACACATTGGTAAAAAAAATCAGTACATTAAATACAAACTAGACGGATATGACTTTGTTGATGAGCCTCACTCTGTCAAGGACCTAGGAGTACTCATATCTAATGATCTAAGTGCCAGAGCTCATTGTAACAGCATTGCCAAAAAGACATTAAGAGTTGTAAATCTAATCTTATGAAGCTTCTCTGGAAATATTGAATTGCTAACTAGGGCATACACAACTTTTGCTAGACCAGTACTTGAATACAGCTCATCTGTCTGGAATCCACACTGTATATTGGACATTAATACAATTGAGCGAGTCCAGAAGTATTTCACGAGAAGAGTACTACACTCCTCTGCTCACAATAGAATACCCTATATCACCAGACTTGAAATTTTGGACTTGGACAATCTTGAACTACGCTGCCTCCGGTTGGACTTAAGTGTAATACACAAAATTATCTGCTACAATGTGCTACCAGTCAATGACTACTTCAGCTTCAACCGCAACAGTGAAAGATCACACAACAGATACAAACTCAATGTTAACCACTCCAAACTTGATTGCAGGAAGTACGATTTCAGCAACAGAGTGGTCAATGCCTGGAATGCACTACCTGACTCTCTTGTTACTTCCTCTAACCCCCACTCCTTTAACCTCAAACTATCCACTGTTGACCTCACCCCATTCCTAAGAGGTATGTAAGGGATGTGCATAAGTGCACCATCGTGCCTCCTGTCCCTGTCCTAATTCCCCATTTAATTGTACTATTTTCTGTATTCTTACTCATGTTTATACTTATACCTATTATCCTGTAAGCGATTGACAAATCAAACAAACAAACAAATAAATAAATACTTCCCATGCCTCTTCTGCATCCATAGACTGAGATTCTTTGGTTGCTTAGCCTGGGTCTCTTCCTCCTGTCCCCTGTGATCATTTTCATGACCAAATAGCTCAGCTCCATGTTCTTATCCTTTCATCCTCAAGTTTTCATACTCAGTTGTAGTGGTCTACCACATACTCTGTGTGTCTTCACCCACTTTCTCTCACACAAAAATATGAACTGAGTGCCTCTTACTCCATGGGAATGCACCCTTTCCTTCTTGGGAACTCAGACTACTAGTCCCCATCACATTTTACCTGACCTCCAAACACAGGATTTTTTTTCTACTTCTCTTTCTCATAAAGTGAAGTTCTCCCTCTAGAAGGGGCAGTTGGGCAACCCACAGGGATAAAATGTTTCCACTATCTATTTCTGACACATGACAACTTAGTTGTGTAGAGGGAAAACGTTCCTTCACAAAAATAGAGGAAGACAAGGAGCAAATATAAGAGATTAGCTTTCTTTGCTAATCCAACTACACCAGCTGATGCCCTAGCAAAATTGTTCTTGGTGTGTTTCATGTTTTCTACTTCCATTCCCTCCACTTTCTTAATGCTTGTTTCTGGGAATTAGATGATTGGTTCAAATCTGCTTTGAAGGTTTTTTTAAAAAGGCCAAAAACACCCTTTTGGCAGCATTCTGCTTTTTGCTATTAGTGCAAAGAGTTGTTTCAAGTCTGATGTCTGTAGCATTTCCCAGTATTTAAATGGCTTGGGATATTCCTCAAAGTCTTGTGGTTTTTTCTTTTTCTTTTTTCAGCCAGACAAGGCAGTGGGGAGATAGAGAAAGTAGGGAGGAGGAGAAAAACAAATCAATTCCTTTTAACATTTTATTGGTGTCCCCAGATTCTGCTGGGGTTGCAGAAATGGGTGTAGCTGAAAACCAAGGCTGAATAAAGAATGCAAATCATGTGCTGAAATCACTCCTATTAGAATAATTTAGTATCCTTCCTTCCTTTTCCATGGGTGGCTGTTTCTACCAGACAAAAATTTAGCAGGCTAAAATATCCATTGTCATATAGCAAACACAACAGATGCACTTGTTGCAAATTCAGTAGAAAATTACTTTTGCCCTTTAGCTGAATCTTGGTTTGCTTCAGTGTAGTTTATTAAACAGACTGATGGACTGGATTCACAGATCTCACTTAGCCATAAACCATATCTTACAAGCACCAGTGGCTAAATTTACTTGAATTACAAGCAGAAGGCTCTTGATGTCAACTTATCCATTGAAAGACACCCAAAAACTGATACTAACCAATGCCTCTTCTACTTAAGATCTCCCCATACAAGTAACATAAAATGGGTTGGCTTAAGTTCCAATTATGCTGGCTGGTATTAGAGAAACACTCAACTAAACAATGATGCCTTTTCAGGCTGAATGTCCACATTCTAGTTTTCTAATATTTCACCAGGATCTGTTGTCTGTCATCTTCAGAAGCAGAGTGACCTTCTCTGTAGCGTATCTCTCAAGTTCTCATACCCATCATCAGATCAAAAGAAAACTAGACTGTGGCCACTCAACCTGAAAGCTCATGACTACTTTGTTGAACACCAAATGTGAAAGCCTATTATAGCGAATTAAATAGATCAATGATCTGATTCCATGTAACATAAATTCCATGCTGGTAGACATGCTAGTTCAGAGACTCTAAAACAGCCTTCCTCCAATTTGATATTCTTGAGATGTGTGGGACTTGTAGATCCCATAGTTCCTATCTTAGAGCTTCCAGATGTGAGTTCAAAAATCCAGAAAACCACTAAATGACAGTAGACAGGAAATATTTTGCTAGTGGTCTAGTGGTCATCCAGAATTTTACAGCCCAGATTCAGTAGACTATGGGAGAAAAATCTCTACAAAGTGCAATCCTATAAATGAAAGCCGGTTGTCAATAACTGAATAAATATTCAAATGCATAATATTATATATTACAATGCAGAAAGCTGGTCTAGTGTACTGATTAAAGCCCCAGATTAGAAATTGGGAAACCATGAGTGATACTCTCATTTAGGCACAAAACAATTTGCCATCTCTCAGCCTTAGGTAGCAGGAAAACCACTTCTGAAATCTTGCCAAAAATTGTGCAGGGACTTGTTCAGGCAGTCACAGGAATCAACTTAGTGACTTGAATGTACACCAAAAATAAAATAAGAAATGTAAAAGTTTCTCTGTCCAATCAACCATTCCACAGTTTGGTACTAATCTCCATTTTTGCTGAGAGCCAACATTTTCTGAAGACATTTTCTGTTGTCATCTGGCAAGCATGGCTATACACACAGAACACTGTTATGTTCCCACCAAGTGGTGCCTATTTATACTCACATTTGTATGCTTTTGAACTTCTAGGTGGGCAGGAACTAGCAGAGGAACGGGAGCTCACCTTGTTTCCATAGTGCTTGGGTCTTTAACCCAGACTGTCAGCCTTCCAGTTGACAAGCTCAGCATCTTTAACCACTGAGCTGTTGCACCCATTCCAAATATAAAATAGTATTACAATATTCAAATCAATGTTTAAAAGCCTGCCACAGGTTAATAAGTTGTTCCATTTAAAACCTTATGGCCAATTTCTTATTTCTGTGTAATAGGGATCCATGATTTTTAAAAACAAGCCTTTCATCATCCATTTGGCCAGGAGGTTTCTTGTAATATAAAGTCATTAAATAATTTTCAAACTTTAACTAAAAGTAAAAACAAAACTGGGGCAAAGAAGACAGCAGAGGAGGGAGGAAAGAGGGCAGGATAAATACATAAATAATTCTTAGACTCCAAAACCTTGTTATGTTCTGTGGTATTAAAATCTAAGCAGCTATTTAATTAGGGTCAAACTTGTTAAAATGCAATTTACATGAATGGGTGCTTTAATTAATGAAGCATGTCACTTGACAACCCTTTGTTCTTTGTATTAATTGCATTATTTCATCATTATGTGGATTTTACTATTTTTAGCCTGGGTTGATACTTGGCAAAGGTGAATCCTTCAGATTAGAGACACTTTTGGAGGAAACAAATAATGAAAATAATGTGACAAACATTTATTTCAGCTATTGATCATAGTATCAGTTTATTTGAGTGTTGAATGTTGATGTGGCTGTTGGCGGTATCTTTATTTTCAGCTTCTTTATTTTCAGCATGAAATAGTGATCACTAATCATTCTTACTGGCACAAATGCCCAGGCTGGATACGAAGTAGACCCACAAGGAGTGTAGTTATCGGGTGTGTATAGGTGTGCTGAAAATACCAGCTACAGTTGCTTGCTAAATGTCAGAAAATCTGTTACCTATACCATAGTCACTAAAAGATGAAGACCAGACAAATGTAGTAACTTATTAATATCTAGAGCTTAAATCTAGATTGGCGTTGTTTGATATAAAGATGGTATCAACTGTGTCTGGAAAAAAGGGTAAAATAGGAAAACGAAAACTATCTCCTGTACTCAATCTATGGTTTGCTAAATGTTAGATGAAATTCTTAATTTTGCCTCAGCATTGTTTTACTTTAACAAATGTTTTAAGCATCCATATTCATCCATCTTCTTCTATCCCTCACTTAAATTTAATTTTTGTTTCTCTGTCCTTTGTGTAATCACAGTTTCTGAAAACAGTCAGAACCAATTCATTCAGCATTAGGGTAAGGTTCATTTATGTCCTGATATTTTGCTTTTCCACATTCTGCTTTTTGGTCTCCTAGGCCAATAATGTATATTCATATACACCAATGAAAAAATGAGATCAGGGGTTGGCTGTCTTTTTTTATCAATATCATTTGTTTTTATTCAAAATAGCAGGGTTTTATTTAATATCATCTTTAACCATTCCTATTAATTTAATATGGAAATGTATATGTTTGTAACTTAATTCTAAGGCTGGCTTAAGTTCATCCAGCCCCCTCCTTTCTCAATTATAAAAAATGTACCACTGCCTATTCAATTTCCAATTCAAACATTAGATCAGAACTGTCACAGTCCAACATGACTATGTAGCTTAAAAGTGTATCAACAGAACAAGCTTATTCAATTGTGATAGGACAGTTATAAAATTGGCTATGAATATTTATCATTTCCATTCGCCATCTTCTTCTCTTTCAGGCCATAAGAGAATTCTTCCAGGGTTTCTAAATCAACACTTTAGAAAATGTCTCCTTCAATATAAAGATAGAATCAGAAATCTATTGTTTAGTTAACACATTGATTTTTTTAATAAAGTCAACATTTCTTTATGGCATCTTTAAGCAGAACATCACTGTGACACCAAGGTTAATTTGATGTTTCAATCGCATGCACATTCATAACAATTGACTGAGTGATGAACTATAAAACAGAGGAACAATATGTATTTTAAATTGTAGCTGGGAATTAATTTAATGCAACTCACAGTCCAGTTTTAGAAACAGTCTGCAAAAGATCAACTTTGACAAAAGTGATCTGCCCAACAGTCTACAGGTGGAAGGAAGAAAAGGCTGTCAGAAATAGGAGGGTATCAAAAAGAAAGAAATGGAAGGTGAAAATCCAAGAAAATGCATTCCAGTCTTGCTACTGCTTAGCCACCATTTCAACTTCAACTACTTATTGACAAACATAAAAAGCCAGAAAACCTCATGGAAATGTAGAATTCAGTTTTGAAAATAAAACAAAAACTTGCCAATCCTGGCTTATGTCATTTCTACCAGCATCAGGTTGCTCTTGTATTAGAGCTTTTCAATAGGAAAGAGTCCATTACAGTCCCAGCATAATAACTGAATCAAAACACGAATGAATAAATATAATCGATCCTAAACCCTTCCATCTCATCTCATCCTTATTTAATTTGGAGACCACAATCAAATTATCTAAAGAGAACAATACTCAGTTATTTCCATGCGCAGTATCAAAACTATGGGTCCTAGATCAGATTGGTGTTACATCAAACTCTTATTCATGTGGCAAATGATAGCATCTTCATTCCAGCTTTGTATCCTGTGTAGCTTCTCTTTTTATAAAATAGATGGGCTGGACAGAGCAAATGATAATTGAAGCTGTTCTCATCTGAAATCGCTTTCATTTATTAGTTTTCAAACACTGGAATCTTTCAGTAAACTCTTGTTGATAATCTGTTTCTCCAATGAAGGACTAGTGGAATAAAGCTTTGATTGCCACTCTATGGGCTTGGTGGGAAACCTTGGTGGATCAGAAATTCTTCATTCTTACTCTAAATCATTGTACATATTGAGTCAACTGAAATCCATGAAAACAATGTGATTTAGATTCCAGGTATGGCATCTATATATTGGGAGGTTCACTCGAGTTGGTTCCTGATGTGACCTTTCTAAGCACTTACATAACACATTTTCTCATATGTTCAATTTTAGAACAGTTTTACGCACTGAATCATACCATAAGATATAGTTTGCTCAAGGTCTCTTATTGTTGTGATCTGGAGAGATATGAACCTGAGAATCTTTCAGTCAGGACTAAAAATCCTGTCACTATAAAAGAATGTTATCTATTTGTGGTGTCTGTTGAATGAACTGATTCTGCCTTAACAATTAAATCAACCAGCCTAATAGTTTATATCTTTGATAGGTAATCAAACTCAATTTTGAAGAATTTGACTTGGAGAGAGGATATGATACACTAACTGTGGGAGATGGAGGCCAGGTTGGAGACCAGAAAAGTGTGCTTTATGTGTAAGTAGACATTTATTTTTATCTTTCTGTTCAGGTTTCATTAGTGTGCAAACCTGGGATTCCTTTAAGAGGTTTTCACAGTTATTTCTGTTTGCTGAATATGTTTCTGAGATGGTCTTGGTTTCTGAAGATACAGAGCATTGTTGAAATTTCCATTCTGGTGGAATCAGCCATTTTTCATGGCTTTCAGGCATATTATTTATCAGTTCTTTGTTCAAGGATGAACTATCTAGAACAGTATTTCTCCACCTTGACAACATTAAGATGTGTGGACTTCAACTCCCAGAATTCCCTAGTCAATTACATATGCTTTGCAGACCTATAGACTGCCTCTGATCACTATTGCTGAAGATCAGTAACAGAGACAGGAAACACATACAATAAACTTTTTGAAAAGCTTCTCCCATGCCTTTCAAAACCCCGCAAAGGATTTCATCTTTGTCTATTGACCCATTATGTTCCATGGATTTCAAAAAATGTTTACGTTAAATTAAATCCCCAGCCTTCAAATGGCTTATTCATTCCTGTCCATTTGTGCATAAAAGATATTTCTTTCACATATGAATTTAGTATGTATTTCTACCTAAGAGAAATAAGCTTTGCAAGTCATTTAATGTATACACCCCACAATAGATGCACTTGTGAGTATGGTTTGGGGGAAATTCCATTAGATTTATTTTTAAGAATTTAGGGATAAAGGAAAATTATGTCCTGACTAGAAATTGATCAACTGCATAATGAATAAATTTATATCTAAACATAAACCAAAGAAAGCCTCCCTGATACTCAAATGAGAAAGGCCATTCTTTATAGTTTGCAGCTGCTAATTCTACAAGTTTGGATCTGTGGCCTTGGTCTGTTTTTCTCGAATGCTCTTGGAGATGTTGAAGCACCATTTTAGATCTTTTGTAGAACTCGTGAATTTGAGTGATTGTAGGCTCAGCATCACACTTTGTCTTCCCATATATTGAGCTTGTTGGTTAATGAATATCAGTCATCTAGTATGGTTTTAAATGTGGCTACCAGGTATTTTGCTTTGGTGGGAGGAAATAAGAGCTGTGAAACTGAGGTTGCCACTGTTTGTGCCATTGTTTCTGAGCAGCTGAAAGAAAATGTGTTTATTTATTTAAAGATGGAAAATCTACATTTCCTTTCTTTCTCCCTATGGCACCAAAGACATTATAAATGACTGCTATTAACTCTGACAGCACACATACAAGATAACTCAGATCCTATAATGAAACCATTACTGTAAGTAAATATGACTTCCCCATGAGGAAGGCTGATGACAATAAGCTTCTTCTACTAACTTATTCATATGTTATGATTGTGTGCTGCACGTGATGAAGGCTTTCTTTCAACAGAATTGAGGATGGCAGGGTTTTCATCACTGCTGTCAAGATATTTGTGGTCTTCTTGAATATTTGTTTCCATGTCATTCCTACCTACTAATAGAACAGGTGACAGGCTTGGGCAGAATCCTGCTCCTAGCTCAGTAATATTCTTCTGCAGATTTCCCTCTTTGTAGTTGTTCAGGGAGTAAAAGCTGTTTGTCTTTATTCAAATTCCTCCTTCTGCCTGTATCTATCCTCATATTCAGTTCAGTATTTGGTCCCTACCATCAATTCAGAATTTTCTGGCTATGGACATTATAACTGTCTGTTAGCTCCTATCTCCCTATAGCAGATATTCCATGTGCATTATTTAGAAATTTATTTTCTGGGGGAAAAACATGTCATGCTTCAGTTTGAATGCTGAATATGTGTTCAATAATATATTTTTCCAAAAAGCTCAGTTGATGGACCACAATTTAGTTTCCCAATATTATGTCCAAACAGCATGTTGAATGGGGATACTACCCAGTAAGGTAGTTGCAAAAAAACGGCCACTATATTTTTGTTTCCAGGTACTTTTTAGTTTAACCGTTGCTTATAAGAGAGAAATGCCTTGATATTGGATTTTTATTTGCAACTCAGTTTAACTGCTGTGCATAGTTTTTGACCCAGTTTTAAAAAGTTATATCAACATGAAATTGGCTGCCCCCACTGGCAACTACTATCCTAGTATATTTTCTGGCTTGGTGCTGGCAAATGACAGTGATCTTTATTTACATTGTATTGGGCATATTAAGAACAAAAATTAGTGGATTTTCCCAGCTGCTTCTCTTCCCTTCCAGCAAATGTCACCAGCCATCCTATTCTAGGTAGGGTGGCAAATAAACAGGAGTCAATTAGTATGTTTCCAATATGTCGATTAACTTGACCATAAATAAGCAGATAACATTAGAGCTGAGGAGCTGTAAATTATCTATAAACATCTGCATTGAAAGAAGCTGTTGCCTGTAACTCATATCTAGGGCTTACCAATTCAGCCATGAAGAAGAGATCTATTTCAATCTAATAGTCCAGAGCTAAGATAAAATGAGCCAATCCATGGGTCATAAGTTAAGAATCCATTTGCAGGGGAAGGAATAGAAAAAAAACAAAAATAAAGAAACACTAGTCCACAGTGAAAAGTTGTTTTCAAGAAGGGACGATCAGATGCACACTAAGAGCGTGCTAAGACAGGGCTTTGCCTAATCAGAGGAGCTGTGCAAATGGCTGCTGCTTACTCTTGTTTTGCTGCCAGAGTATAATTTTTGCTGTTTGAATTTAGCAGCCAGTTCTGTTGAGTTTGACTCACTCAGATGGCTGATGGCCAACTGCTTCCTAAACTACAGGCTGAGAGTCTACTAGGTTGTTAATGTTAGCTTCAGAATTAGAGGAGCCCATCATATCATCCGTCAGTCACTTAACATGGTCTAAGAATTGGGCAGAGGAAGAGGCAAGGATTGACAAATGGCTAGACTGGTGGGGGGCAGGCATTTGTCAAAACTTGCTTTGATTTGGCACAACTGTCATTCACAGGCACCTTCTAAAGTTCACTAAATATATGCTCAAAAAGAGCTAAAAGGAGTTTTGTGCAATTGCAGAATTTATTCTATTTAGGCGCTGTTCAGCTCCAATTGACTCTGGGAGGGAGTATATAATAAAAGCAGCAGCATAAAAATAAGAATACAATAATTATAAGAGAATAAACAGCTGAAGGTTGAGGCAATCATTCATATCCACCCATAATCCAGCTGTTCCCCAACCACCCTAAATCTGGCTATTGGGAGAACAGTCAGGTCCTTAAGGCTTTCCAGCATGCCAGCACAATGGGAGTCATACAAATATCAGGGTGAATCTTATTCCATAGAGAAGGTGCTATGACAAAGAGGAAGAGCTTTGGGGATCCATGGCCTTGCCGCAGGTTATCTACAAGCATAGACTATCTCCATGCTAAATCCTGGCCTGAAACCTAACTGAAATGGGTCTAGATAACCCACTTCTTCCACTTTATCAAAGTGACCACCTGAGCATCTTCCCCCAAAAGGGAAAATTGGAGAAAGGGATATTGTATTGAAAAGCAGCCTGAACAACCAGTGTAGAAAATACTGCATGAGGCAGCAGTGGAGGCAAAGTTGCTTTAGGGCTCCATAAGGGTCACTTGATTGCAACACTGACCAAATGGTTGAATGACTTTACATTGCATCCATGGCCAAATTGACATTATTTGTTATCTCCTGAAGGCAGGAAATACAACTCATAACACCAGAAAAACTAAGAACAACTTTAAGGTTCTTTGGAGGGCGGAGGGATTGGAGCTAGGGGCATCTAGTGACTATAGATCTAGTGTGGGGTGTGAGGTCTGGGGTGGGATGGGGTGGGGTGACTCCAGCAGGGTTAGATACAGTAATTCTACTCTGGCAGAGGTGGATCCAGCAAACTTCAAGACTCTGCTGGCATCCACGGATAACCTCTCAGTCTCTGAGGTTCAGCCACCCGGTTCCAAGCAGAGGCATGTTTTAAAGATCCAAGAACAGAGGGTTGAGTCCACAGGCCAGAGAGGCTTCCAATAAGTAGGCCAGCAGAACCACAGACTCTTAAGCCCATGATGGTGAACCTATGGCGCGCGTGCCAGAAGTAGCACGCAGAGCCATTTCTCTGGGTACACCAGCTGTGGCCTGTTGCTCTTCAAGGTTCTGGCACAGACATGTGTGCTGGCCAGCTGGTCTTTCAGTTTCTAACATGCATGCACCTGTAAAGACCAGCTGGCCAGTGCACTCATGCACATTAGAAACCAGCAGGGCACCTGGTCTTTCGGTTTCTAACTTGCATGCGCATGAGAAAAACAGCTGGTACAAGAGAAACCAGAAAACCAGGTGATCTTCATGCACTCATGCATGTTAGAAGCTGGAAGACCAGGTGGCCAGCGTGCATGCATGCGCTGGAACTACTCTTCCAGTTTCCAGTGCAAGTGCGCAAATGCATGCATGCGTGTTTTGGCACACAGTGCTGAAAAGGTTAACCACCACTGCTCTAAGCAGTAACACAGCTTAATTGGGTGGAGTCTGGGCTAGCTACTTCATTGGCTTCACTCTTTGGAAGAAAATACTGAGAACAACCTTAGAAGCCTTCAGTTCTATTGTGTTTTCCTCACCTTGCCATACCCTGCTTGGTCTCTCTTGGATTTATTGCTTGATTACAGGATTCCTGGTTTTAACTTTGCCAAGTCATGCTGCCCCGAGATACTGCTAAAAAGGATTTTTCTTCTTGCAAAAGATTATTCCAAAAGAACCTTTCTATTGCTAGGCCGGAGCATACATCCAGCTTGCTATCTAGCTGGCTGACAGTCAGCAGGGCTAGAGAAAGTATGATGCAAGAAGCAAGATCAGAGAAGAGCTGGCAAAAGAAAAAAAGAGAAGGAGAAAGAGATAGTGTGTGTTCTTATTAGCTCTAGGTTACTATAAGTAGGGACAGAGTCACAGCTCTCCCGGATCATCTGTAACCGAAGAGCTTCAGATTATTAGAGTCCATGTGATACTTTAGCCATCTTTGGGTGAAAGGTTTTCTCAGACCAAACAATTTAGGATACAGAATAACAGAGTAGGAAGGGACCTTGGAGGTCTTCTAGTCCAA